AGTCCTCCTAGTCTACAGATTTGAGACTCCCATGTAACTTCTGCACACCCTCTGGGACAAAGTTTTTCATAATTTATTATTTTTTTTCCTTTGTTGTCTGAGAGCTGGTCCCATGAGTCACCCCTGGGGGAGTTATAGGCCTAAGTGTGGAGTATGAGGCATCTTACAGCCAGTGACAACTCCCGTTTCTTCCCTTTACCGTTCAGACGATGGCAGATCTCTGCCTTCTCCCTTTGGTTCAGAGAAGCTGTAATCTTTGAATTTGGGGTCTCCGTTCCTCAGTGAGATTCAGTAACCTGTCCTGGCCACCAGTTCCAAGGTTCTGGGAATTCTTGGCCTTGGTGCTTCACCCAGAGAAGACACTAGGAAACTAGAGAAGCAGTGGGAAGCACGTAAGTGGCTCCTCTAGAGGCTCATATGCAAAGAGCATGCAAGGGGTGGTGCATGGAAGGAATGCTGTCAATCAAATAGATACCAAATCTAGAGGTATGGTTCCTGACTTCGACATAGCCCAGTCTTTTTTTCGGAGTTTCCCAGTTTGTGATCTCATTTTTGTTTTCGTTCAAAATCTCTTTTTGAAAATTTTTAAAATTTTATTATTTACTTTATTTGTTTTATTTTTTTGAGTTGAAGTCTCATTCTGTCACCCTGGGGTGCAGTCGCACAATACTGGCTCACTGCAATCTCTGCCTCCTGCGTTCAAGCTGTTCTCCTGCCTCAGCCTCCTGAGTAGCTGGTATTACCATGTGTGTGCCGCCATGCCTGGATAGTTTCTGTATTTTCAGTAGAGACCATGTTGGCCAGGCTGATCTCAGGCTCCTGATCTCAAGTGATCTGCCCGCCTCAGCCTCCCAAAGGGCTGGGATTACAGGTGTGAGCCACTGTGCCAGGCCCAAAACGTCTTTACGGAGTTGTATGGTTTTAAGTATCAACTCAGTTTTCAAGTGAGAAAATGGAAGCACACATGATTCAACTGATTTGCTCATGCTCATGTAGAATAGGGGTGCTAAGGGACTTTGTGGGGTTTTAGTTCTTCATCTCCATCTGCCTCCTCAAGCCACCTCAAATAAACCTACAGTCTAAACAAATCAATCTGCTTTTGTTATTCCAGGGCAGCTTCATGTCCCACCAGAGAGCCATTCCCATGCTGTCCCTTTATTGAAATTTTGTGGTCATCCCATAGTCTGTAAGCAATATAAGCAAAAGAGTAAGAAGGTCTTCCCAGAGTGTACCTTTAAAGTTTCAAAGAACCTGCACATCCACTATCTCATCAATTCACAGGATGTTCTGAGAGATGGCACGAAGAGGTGTTATTCCTGCCTAGAGATTAGGAGCTGGAAGCTCAGAAATCTTGATTCTCACCTTGGTTTCTGTCTTCTATAGTGGACTCTCTGGCTTGGTTTGGGTCTGGGGTCTCTGTCCTGTATATGACTGAAGAAGCCTCCCATTTATTTTCTTATGCCTCAATTTCCCGTTTGTTCCCATCATAGGGAGACTATATGTCAGTACCTTTGAGGAACAGATTGTACCTTCTCAGTATTGAAGCCCCTGGAATAATGAGGGAAATACCCAGTTAATTGATCAGATTTTATTTTAGGAATGCCAACCACCCTAGGGAGGTGGTATGATGGGATGATGGTGGGCTCTGGGGTCAGACTGAGCTGGATTCTCATCTGGATTGTGTCACTTACGAGCTGGTTGAAGCAGGACTTTTGAGAGCCCCATATACTAGGTCCCTTCCCCTTCCCATCTACCTGTCAACTGAGCAAACCTAGGGCTTGGTGGAGCAGAGTTTGAAAACAGCTGATAGAGTACAGCTTTCCAGGAAATTTAAAATTAAACTCGGTAGCTAAGAGAAAAAATTATATGTAGAAATCAATTCAATTTGCCTCCCACCCAAGGCTTTGAGAGCGGGCTGCTCCAGATGTACAAGACATCATTCCTGCAGGCATTGTCAATCTTGTAGTTCATTGGCAGTAACTGCATGGACAACACCCACATTGATTGGCTTTTCTGTAAGTATTGGCGAACTTCCTTTCCTTTCAATTTCCTTGAAAACAGGTAGCTAGAAATGGAAAGGAAACTACACTGGGTCAGCTGGATGCCAGGAGCCTGCAACCATCATTTTATTACATCAATATGTATTTATTGCATGTAGACTACATGCCAGTGACTCTTTTTGGAATTGGCAACACAATGATGAACAAACAAACAAAGGCACTATCTTCAAAAAGTTTCCTTTTGCATGCTCATGTGTGTGTGTGTGTGTGTGTGTGTGTGTGTGTGAGAGAGAGAGAGAGAGAGAGAGAGAAAGAGAGAGAGAGAGAGAGATGTTATAGACAAACAAATAAATATCTACCAGATGGCAATGAGGCTGTGACCCAAAAAATCAAACAGAGAAGAGGCTTAGAGAGTGAAAGGAGTTGCATTTTCAGATAAGTGGTCAGAAAGAGCCTCTTTGTTAAGGTGGCCTTGTGCAGGGAATTGAAGAAAATGCAGGAGGAAGCCAGACAGAAATGGTAGAGGGAGTAAAAGGAGCAAAGGCCCTGAATTTCACTGAGTGCTGTCTCCTTCCATCTTTAGTCCAGCCCAGCAATGTACATGTTATCCTCCCCATTTGAAGATGAAGACACTGATGCTCGGCAATATCAGACACCTTTCCCAAACTCACAACTACTGCCTGTTGGAGGTAGGGTCAAATGCAGCTCCATGGATTTCAGAGATGGTGCTGTACCCACAGGGGGCTGTCTGCATGCTGGAAAATGAGATATGCTGTTGCTGTCACGTTGCAGTGGGAGCAGGGAAGCAGGCATGCAGTGAGCTAGACCCAAGGGGAAGCAGAGAGCAGGTCTCCGGGCTTCATTCCTGGGCGCCTCGTAGCCCCTCTGTCTGTCTCGTGGCACCCACCCACTGCTGTCTGCTCACCTTGGTTTGCTGGCTGTTTTTTTTGAAATCACTTCCTGGATCTTAATAAGTTTATTTTCCAGTTCCTTTCACTTTTTGGGATCAGTCCCCTAGAAGCCAGGAGGAGAGAACTGATAGAGGGAGAAATCCAGCTTCTCCTACCAGGCTTGTCACATAGCTACACAAGCAAATAGCTGCAGGAACCAAGATTTAATTTTTGTGCATGGACCTCAAACTGTTTTTCCATATTTGTTAGGGAAAATCTTAGCCAGGGAGCACCATCTTTTGAGGACACCAAACTGGGCCAAGTTCCTGTGCGGCCTTTCTCCTTACTTAGCGATTGCCCCATATGACCCTCTCCTCTCCGGTTGACCGCGTTTTCCCTGCATGATACTTGGTGGATAAAGTTCCCTGAACCTTGGAGAGGAAGTGGATGCTGTTAATAGGCCTGGGAGTGTGACTGTGCTCCTGCAGCGCACTGGAGCCTGTGGGGAATTCCTCCAGCCTCCGGCGGGGCTCCGAGCTGCAGGGACATGAACCTCAGAATCAGGGCAGGGAGCCAGGGCTGCAGGCACGTCGTCATTGGGTGAAATGGAATGGCAGGGGAAAATGGCATGGTGTGGAGGGAAAGCACAGGCTTTTGCGTCAGATGCTCTGAGGTTTGGCTCTTCTCTGTGCCATGTAGTTCTTTGATCTTGTGCAAGTTACTCACTGTCTCTCTGAGCCTTTAGTTATTTCAATTGCTTGAAAACCAAGACATTAATACCTTTATATCAAGAATAGTTCATGGAATCATTGTACAGTATTGTGGGGATTATGTGAGATGGTATCAGCCCATCAGAATCTAGCCCATGCGAGGGGTTCCATAAATGACCCATTGTCCGTTTTTTTTTTTTTTTTTTCTGGAGAGAGCCTCATCTTCCTACCAACACATGACCTGAACAGGTGTGTGTGGGGGAGGGAAGAGAAGTAGAATTTGGATGCTCTGAAACTCTTGTTCAGAAAGTGTTTCTCATTAGACTCGTCTCTGATGACTTAAATGATTCCATCAGAAATTCATTCTGTTGGGTTAGCCATTGCCTCCCATTTGGATTGCTTTCATTTTATTTCAGTTGGAAGGTGGTGGGGCTGAGATTTGAAGGCATCAGGTGGTCTAACGCCTGAATGTAGCCTTAGCTACTGCACTCTCCTGCCTGTCCGTGGACCTCACAACCTCTCCTCACAATTCCTCTGGGCATATTAGCTGCTTCCACCTCTCCCCTGGCTTACTGAGCTGCCTCCCCATCCCTCTGCTGTGCTTGGTTTTGTCAGTTAAGGATTGCCTTCTGTCTGGCATCCCCCACCCTCAGTGTGATTTAATTGGGAAATTGTTTCTTGATCTTATCTGTCTGGTCTTTCTCCTTCTAGGCCAACTTCACTGCCCCCTGCTTTATTCTACCAGACACATCAAAACTAGCTTATCACATCTCTGTCCTACCCCTTGAGTACTCTCTGTCTTTCTGAAAAGACACGATTCTTAAAAGATAGGACTTGCAACTCCTTTTGGGTTAAAGGCCTGATGCCTAGTACCATGCCTAGCACTCAGGGTCTCCTTGATGAACACTTGAATGAGGGACTGGCAAGCATAGAACTGTGGGTAAACCACTTTACTGAGTTAACAGATTAATAGGTTCAAAAATTTCCAAGAGTTAGATAGTTGTGGGATTCTCTCTCTGAATCTTTTTTTTTTTTTTTTTTTTTTTTTTTTTTTTTTATCTGACTTTTATATCCAGCGGGTACATGTGCAGTCTTGTTAAAAATGTGGAACCTGGCTGGGTGTGGTGGTTCATGCCTGTAATCCCAGCACTGTGGGAGGTCAAGATGAGTGAATCATTTGAGGTCAGGAGTTCAAGACCTGCCTGGCCAATATAGTGAAACCCTGTCTCTACTGAAAATACAAAAATTAGCCGGATGTGGTGGCAGATGCCTGTAATCCCAGTTACTTGGGAGGCTGAGGCAGGAGAATCGCTTGAACCGGGAAGGCAGAGGTTGCAGTAAGCTGAGATTGGGCCACTGCACTCCAGCCTGGGCAACAGAGTGAGACTCTGTCTCAAAAAAAATATATGGAATACTTCACAAATTTGCATGTCATTCATAGCACAGGGGCCTTGCTAATGTTCTTTGTCTCATTCCAATTTTAGTATATGTGCTGCCGAAGTGAGCAGTCTCTTAATCTTTTTAATGAATGAACGTGGATTAATATACACTAGCAAAAGAAGTAATGAGACATTTAAAATTTATTTTATTCATTTAAACTCTTTGAATGTTTTTCTCCATATATCAATCCAATCTATTTGACAACTTGGGTTCATTTTTTGAGTCTCTCAAAGAATGCAATTGGGTGCCAGGCAGTAGAGGAAGAGCTGCTGGAGATTTAAGCATTTTTCTAGAATCATTTAGTTTAGATTTTCGGTTTTGGATTTGGAATTCAGGAAAAGGTTCCTTTGCAGTTTGTTAATTAGTATTAGGGTAGCAGGAGCAATAGTAACTCCCTGGGCTTCTGTGCAGGTGCCGTAGCGTACACGTGTGCAACCAAACCCTGGGTATCAGTTCTTCCCCGTCCCCCAGCTCTCTGCAGAACAAGGGACAACAGATAATTTGGGGACAGTTTGGCTGCTTGGTGGTGGCAGAGGTGGTATATGTGTCCATAAAGTAGGCTAACTACTACTTACCACAGTAAGGTGGTGTTCTTTTTCGCTCATTTAACAGTCCTATGTGAGTCTAGGGCAGGGATTGGCAAATGACAGCCCGTGGTCCAAATCCAGCTTGTGGCCTTTTTGTGTATGGTCCATGAGCTAAGAAAAGGTTTTACATTTTAAAGAGTTGAGAAAACAAAAACAAACAAACAAAAAACCACAAGGAAGAATATGTGGCAGAGACTGCCTGTGGCTCATAAGCGTAAACGCTCTAAATCTGATCCCTTCCAGAAAATGTTGGATAATCTCTGCTCCAGGAAGAAGTGAGTCGTTTTCCTCAGAGATCTAGGATCCTGCCAGCTCTTGGCTCTATAATGGAGAAAGAGATAGTGGGGAAGACACTCCTGCTTCTTAAAAATCTCAGCCCACAGGTGAAATGCATCATTGCCTGGATGCAAGGGGACAAAAAGGTAGCCCTTGGCGCTCCCTCTCTCCTTCTCTTAGATCCTACTTCTTTACCTTTCCTGCAGCTTTAGAGAAACTAGAATATCCTTTCAATGTAGCTAATCTGGGCCTGAAACAAAGCCCACAGGTTCTGGCACCCTCTCTCTAAGCCATGGATCAGAGAGCTGAAAGTATTAAAAAGTTAATATGTGCTCTGTACCAGGCCCAATGGTGGATGTTGAGGGGGGCACCTGTACCAGGCCCCAGGGTGGATGCTGGGGGCACTTGCTCTGTACCAGGCCCCAGGGTGGATGCTGGGGGCACTTGCTCTGTACCAGGCCCCAAGGTGGATGCTGGGGGCACTTGCTCTGTACCAGGCCCCAGGGTGGATGCTGGGGGCACTTGCTCTGTACCAGGCCCCAGGGTGGATGCTGGGGGCACTTGCTCTGTACCAGGCCCCAGGGTGGATGCTGGGGGCACTTGCTCTGTACCAGGCCCCAGGGTGGATGCTGGGGGCACTTGCTCTGTACCAGGCCCCAGGGTGGATGCTGGGGGCACTTGCTCTGTACCAGGCCCCAAGGTGGATGCTGGGGGCACTTGCTCTGTACCAGGCCCCAGGGTGGATGCTGGGGGCACTTGCTCTGTACCAGGCCCCAGGGTGGATGCTGGGGGCACCTGCTCTGTGCTAGACTCTGGGATGGATATGAGATATCTTTATCAGGCCCCGTGGTGAATGTGGGGCCACCTGCTCTGTACCAGGCCCAGGGATAAGTGCTTGGGGCACTTGCTTTGTACCAGGCCTTGGGGCAGATGGGGGGGAAATCTGCTCTGTACCAGGCCCTGTGGTGATGCTGGAGAAACCTGCTCTGAACCAGGCCCAAGGGTGGATGCTGGGGACACCTGCTCTGAACCAGGCCTCAGGATGGATGCTGGGGTACCTGCTCTGTAGGTACCCTGGGGTAGATGCTAGGGGCAACTGTACCCTCCACCATGGTTCCTAGGTCAGAGCAGATACCCTGTGTATTTGTTTGCTTGACCTGCATACAAGTTGGGAGGAATGAGGTAAGGAAAAAGGCTTCCTAGTGAAGACAGCACTGTCATACTTGATTCACAGCTAAAAGGACAGGTAAGATTTAGAAAGAATAGTAAGAATTTATAGATGACACAACCAGGCTAGTAAATTGCAGACCCAGGGCTTGATCCCAGAGCTGTTTGGCTCTAAATCTCATTCTCTCCAGAGAAAATTCAAATAATGAATTTTTCAGAGAATTTGACTGTGAAACTGCCTAGCACATTAAGTCAAGTCAAACTTCTGCAGCATCTGCGTGCAGTATCTCCATTGAGAAGAGTGATCATTGTTTGGAGGCTGCCACATTGTAAGCGAGGTTGCAAATGAGATAAATGGGTGGGAATTGCGTCCTGAAATTTCCTTTGGCCAACAGAAGCATGAAGTGTCTGGGGCTGCAATGCCATTACGTGAAAGGAAGCCGGTGTTTACAGACTGCCCACTGTGGGGATGTTAGGCATGGTGAAGACGCACGCAGAAATCTGAAGCCTCCAAACTTGTTTATTTCTGATTCTGTGTCTCTACATGCTTTCAATGCCAGGAATGCTGAAGCCAGAAAGAACTTGCTTAATTATTTATAGGGGAAAGGGCAAGGGCTTTAGACCTTGGCAGACTTGTATCCAAATTCCAGTTCAGGAATTTGTGACTGTAGCAAAACACTATTTCTTTTTCTCCAAAGGGTCAGAAATAGTAAATAATTTGCCCAAGTTACACAACTAAGATGTAATTGCTTTATTTATGCATAACCAAGCAGCCTAACGCTTAGTGGTTTAAAGTAACAATAACAATCAGTTATTTAGCTCACAGATTTTTAGTTTGGGGAGGGCTCAGCAGGGAAGGCTGGTGTCAGCTTGGCCAGCTCAAGCGGGGGCTGAATGATCTCTTTCTCAGACAGCTTATTCACCTGCTGGCACGCCGGTGCTGGCTGTGAGCGAAAGCTTGGCCAGGGCTGAGGGATGAGGGACTTAGCTCCTCTCCACCTAGGCCTTTCCACAGGCTGCATAGGCTTCCTCACGCTATTGGGACTGGGTTTCAAGAAGCAGGAAGAGGAAACTGATGGTTTCCAATCCCGGGTCTGGAAACTGCCGCAGCGTGACTTCCATTTCATTCTGTTGTTCAGCAGTCACAGAACCCAGATGCAACAGGAGTGGCCGTAGACCCCACTTTTGTTCAAGAATTTGGGGCTGTATTTTAAAACTGGCACAATAATGGAGATACTATGTTTTCTCATTTAATTCTTTTTTTTTTTTAATTTTTTTTTTTATTGCATTTTAGGTTTTGGGGTACATGTGAAGAACATGCAAGATTGTTGCATAGGTACACACAAGGCAGTGTGGTTTGCTGTCTTCCGTCCCCTCACTTCTCATTTAATTCTAAAATGAGATAGGAAATCATCTCTCTGGAACTCTTTTGTATTATCTGTTTTTTTTCCTTAATGGGATTATTTAGTGATTTACTCATGGTCACATATTTCAAGTTGATGCTGGAACTCAAATTCAAACCCAGTGTGAATTCAAACCCAATTATGCTGATTCTGTCTCTTAACAGCCATGTTCACTCTCCTACTGACATTTCGTTAGTTGAAGTCACCATCACTCCATGCTGTACTTGCAACAACCTTCCAAGCCAGCCTTCCTGCCTCCTATCTTCTTTGTTTTTTTGACATGAGGTCTCTCTCTGTTGCCCGGGCTTGAGTGCGGTGGCGTGATATTGGCTCACTGCAATCTCCGCCTCCTGGGTTCAAGTGATTCTCCTGCCTCAGCCTCTCAAGTAGCTCGGATTACAGGTGCCCACCATCATGCCTGGCTAATTTTGTATTTTTAGTGGAGACTGGGTTTCACCATGTTGGCCAGCTGATCTTGTACTCCTGACCTCAGGTGGTCCATCTGCCTTGGACTCCCAAAGTGTTGGGATTACACGCTTGAGCCATCATTCCCGGCCTCTGCTTCTTATCTTGTTCCCCTCCAAACCTGCCCCTTCGAAGGGGCAAAAAGAATAGCATTGCTCATCTGTTTATAATTCTTTTTTTTGCCATAATTTTTTAAAATTATGAGTTCTGGGATACACATGCAGATCATACAGGATTTTTACAGAAGTATACACATGCCATGGTGGTTTGCTGCATCCATTCCCCTGTCATCTACATTAGGTATTTCTCCTAATGTTATCCCTCCCCAATCTCCCCACCCGCTGCTGTTCCTCCCCTAGTCCCCCGACTCCCCAACAGGCCCCGTGTGTGATGTTCCCCTCCTTATGTCCATGTGCTTATAATTCTTAAAGGCTCCCTGTAGCTTTCAGACTGAAGCTCAGCTTCTTCCTTTCCCTTAATTTGGTTGCTAGCCCCTTGTGGTGTCTCGCCTACTCCTCAGGCTCAGAAACAGTCATCTTCTCTCTATATTTTATTCCAGGAGAAGTCAACATGTAGATTTCCCCTTGGACATTTACTGACTCAAACACGATGCTAAGTGCTTTACAGGAATTATCCAGTTTACATTTTCACAACAGCTCTGTTAGGCTCTCTTTTATTTGAAGCCAGGTATGCTTGCTTGGAAATCAAGCTCTTGAACTCTGTGGTAAACTCTCTACTTGAAATTTCCCAAACGCACTCTCTCCTCTCTGGTGCTTGGAATCTTATACTTGCTATGTCTTCTCTCTATCTCTACCTTTTGTCTCACTAACTTATACTTCCTTTTCAGGTTCAGCTTTAGACAGTTTTCCTCCCAGGAAGATTTCTCAAGACTGGTTTCCTCATGTCCCTCATGGACTGTAAATTCTTTGACGGTTCGAACAGTGTCTTGACGTCGTGTTTCTTTTCTGAAGTGAAAGGCATTTGAGTACCACATCCTCCAACCTGACAGGTTCTCTTTGAGCTTTCATCCTCTAAGAGGCTATGAGTTTGCTGAGCTCTTACTGCCACATATGCAGCCATATACCAAAAACTGGACCCAGGTAACTGAGTTTGTCATGATGGGCTTTGCTGGCAGCCATGAAGCACACTTCCTCTTCTTCACACTCTTCC